ATGTTGTTAAGCAGGTGTAAGTTAATTCAATGTATATCACTACCGACTATGCAAAATGTACATTTATATATAAAATGAATTAGCTGTATGAATGATACTAACATTTATTCAATTGATAGACCCATATGGTTATATTATGAAGCTTATGAATTATAGAAATCCTATTTCTAGGATGAATTCAATATTTCTTGTGTTAGTTTTGTTTTTGTTTTTTCACAAACAAAAGAATGCATATGCATATGCAAAAACTACTTAACTCCAACAAATGAGATCCAATTATACACATATTTTCTTAATCTCTTTTTCTCTCTCTCCTTCTCTTTCTGTTTAAATAAACATAGATTTGCTTCCATTTAAAAGATCGTCTCTATTTATTTTAAACTATAAAAAATAATAAATAGTTCTTTATTATTTAATTATCAATCTGTTCAAATTTGATTTTGATTAATTTACCCAATAAAATTAAAAGGAAATTATTTAAAATTATATGTAACTATGACAACAAATAAACATTATAATCTATAAGTAGCTTAGATATTAGAAGAGATATTTGTTTAAATTAAAACTATTGATTCATAATATGAAGATTGATCAAAATTTCGATTATGATAGATTTTATTAAAAGTAGAATAGAAGTGATCTGGTTAAATAATCAATATATATGTGAAGATTAGTTCATTTCTTATAATGTAAGTGTGTTTTTTTGTTGGAGGAACTGTTAGCTTAATCAATATTAAGACACAATTCCTTGAGTGTAATAATCATTGAAGAATCTTAGATAAGATTCATTAAAAACCTTTATGACTACAAGCTTATAATATGGGTTTTTTTAATGATCTGTTGATATAAATATCTACACGATCGAATTCTTGTGATCATTTCCTCAATTTTTTAACATAGACGAATATCAGCCAGATGAAAGATTTATGTTTGTCGGATGTCGTTAAATAGTTTGTAATAAAGGTTTCTTATTAACAAATGTCAAATGGCATGAAACCTGTACGTATGGCTTCCTCCCAAATATCTCCAACCGATTTACATAAAAAAATGACACTACAATGTAATCATATAACCTAGCTACTACATTTTAAATTGACTGAAAGATTTTGATTGTCACTAAGTGTCATACATAATATTATTGGTTATTACTAAGTTGCAAGTTTGTGTAAATAAATTACCTCTGTAGAAGGTCAATCAAATGGAAATATCTCTGTGAAGTTGAATGACATACTTTCGAATTACATGACAACCATCAGTTATTTTGAGAGTACAGATGTCTGATTGAAAAGTTCCAAGTAGAACGATAAGTTGGTTGTTAGGCTATTTTATCCAGCCACTAAAGATAGAAACAAATCATTCAAACCAAGTTTTTTGTACATGCATATATACTAGTCTCTCAGCACTGGGAATCATATCGGTAATTATTTTATCACCTATAAATAATCATCAGATAATTGGCTTGAAGGTACCATACAGTATTCTCTTTAACTGTTTTCGAAAAGAATCTTATTTTTAAGTGTCAACTCCTGTTAATTTTAGATTGTTTTACCTTTCTTTTGTGTTATACTCTTCAATAACTTCTAACACAATCCCTTCCTTTAATAAAAAAGAATTAGTAACATTTAATGGACTATTATAAAAAATATCGTAAAAAGTGCAGGCAAGAAACGATGTATTTGTTTATATTAATTGATAGAGGTCGATATTTATAAAATTCTTAATTTCCACTTTATAGATGATGTTTACCATTCATGTGTAGATATGCATCTAGTTTTAAAAGAATCAGATGTTTTTTTCTCTAAATTAAAAATATTTGATCTGTGAAGTAAACAAACAAAATCTCAAAAAAGCAAGCCTCACATAGTGCCTGGTTTTTATTAAACAAGTAGAATCACAATAGGAGGTAATTATATTAAGCGAAAATGGACAGTGGCTAGTAGTGAAATCCAGGACACGTGTTTTGTCCTATTTGAGACTCGTCAGATGGATGTACCTGCATCTAAGAGTTGATGTTCACTCCAGGATTCAAGCCCATCACGTTATCCACTTAGCTACCGAATCCTGATAGTCACTTGCTTGTGCAATCACCAAAAGGTAATTATAATTTCTCCTTATTTAAGATTACGTTTTTTAGGGTTTTTTCCAAATTAATTTCTCCGACCCAAATGATTGCTCTGGAATTAATTTTCACAATCCATTTTTTGCGTAGTTCAATTAAGTCTTTTTAAGGTTTACATGAAGATTATGATTGAACCTAGAGGGGAATTTTTGGTTGTTGAGAAAAAATAAGAGATATTTTGATGAGTGAACTGGCTGCACTACTGAATATCCTAACAAGCCAAACTGTCTCATGTACAATGACTTCTAATTAAGTCACAGGAGAATAATTAACATACAGTAAATAATCTGGTTTAAACTACGGTTTTGTGGAATTCTTTCACAAATGTGACCAATATTTTGCTAATGATTACATTTAAATTTTTTACTTAGGTGGAAATATATCACAAAATGCATATATACGCAAAAATGGAATAGCGAAATAAAAATAAGTTAGTTATAGAACTTATTCGAACATCCAATAGCATATGCCCCCTCAAGAAGCAAAACAATTTCACGAATTTATGACATTTAGGATTATGATAAAGGTATTAAGTTTCGTTAAGTCTTTGTTTATTCGCTATTCATTGAATGCTAACAATCTTTACAATAATTTCTTACCATAAACTATGAATTATTAAACTGTTCAAATTCATTTCAGGATTTAATTGGCTTTAAATGTTTCGGAATACTAGAGAAAACCAATTCAGATAAATGCTGTATGCATTTGGCTTAAGCTCTGTAATACTAATCCAGAATTAGGAACTTTTTCATCATAAACGATATCCCGCGTGCGGAATCGTGGATGCGTACTGATGAGGAACCCCATGCTAGCACGAAATGGCCATCCAGTGCTTCTAAGTTTTCAGTGATGGTCTAGCTTATATCGACTAGTAAATCCAACTGTTAAAAGGCTACAATCTCCATAAATCTCCATGCAGATTTATTTCTATATGTTTATACAATAGGCTAAATGCTTCTAAATCATATATTAAGCCTGTTTTTTCCACAAAACAACACAGTAACGAATCCATTTAAGATATAATTCTACTTTATCAAACTAAAATTCAAAGAAAAAAATCAATTATTCCTTCCAAAACCATCAATAAAATCCCAACAGGTAGAGGAGAGATGAGTAAGTAATAAAGCTGTACGATGAATCAAAATCGAAGTTGACATTCATCATAACTATGACTTCAACAATTTACGTCACTCATCCGTTCATTTTATTATTACTATATCATTTCATTGTCTAATATTATTTACAGTTTGAGGTTGTAAAGATTGTTTTATTTCACTGAAACCATGAACTCATCAATATCAGACCAACATTGGAAACCGGGAGGTAATTACCGGCCATTTTTTTCCCAATATAGAACTCCTCAGTAATGCCCATCCACAATCCCGCATGTGGGATTTAAACCCAACATCTTTGGTTTCACGCGCGAACGTTTAACTTTTAAACCACTGAGCTGGCATCGAACTTTATTAATGTCTAACTTCAACCACTCCACAATGTTGAGAGGCCATCTTCTTTATTTTGGTGTGTAACTGCCTCTCATCCAACATGGTTGAACTCTAATAGTCATGGCTTCTCATGATTTCAAAGTAATATTATTTAATTGAAAAGTGTGAACTAAATCAAATCAAAGATCATTCTTATTGTTAAAATTGAGAATCAAATCTTATCAATAGCATTCTACGTCATTGTATGATATATTTAACAAGAAAATAAACTATTTATTTAAAACAAAAATAAGAAATTGACATTTAAGATTGGTATTTATGGGAAATTAGTGTGTATTGTATCCTTTTTCAATATTCTGTTCATCTTATAAAACGTAAGGGGAATAAGTCTTTAAAACTGACTTCATTATAAAAAGGATTTACGAGAATAAATGTTATTTGTGTATTATAAAATCAAATATGTATATAAGATGTTTACATATAAACAGTGGAAAAGTTGAGCAGTAAAAAACTTACCGTTATCACAGTGGAACTATGTTCTTATTCAATAGTAAAATCTATTATGAAATAGTTGTTTATCCCAAAACTGACCTACTATTTGAAATTGACTGAGTTTTTAAGGCTTAAAGATTCAGTCACTTCAATTGCCTACAACGATTGTATAGAACATGAGGACTATAATATAACCATATTACAACGACTGATGAATTAATGAGTCTTGAAGTAGGAAATTTGTAAATAAGCTATTTTTTAATTCGGATCATCTGGTAGATAGCTTTAAATGAGAAAAATCTACAGACAGCACTATTAAGATGTCAAATCGCAATCAATGTATTTTTCTATTAACTATTAATCATATACTATTACTAGCAGATTAATTAGTTAACTGCTTTAATTCATTAATATAGCGTTGATATGATGCAACAAAATCCCCATATCTGTTTAGATTGGAATTAATCAGTCAAGTAATTGGATTTGAAACCTTTTAGCAAATATAACTAAATGTGTATAAACTATTTAAACTACAATAAACTTGGTGAAGGGTGATTTATTGATTGAGACATTTGACTTTTGCTCTTCAATGTGTAAATTCTAATCTACTTGTATTTGAGTAGTTGGATAGTACCATAAACCGTTGCAATAAATATCCATGTCATAATTCAGCTATGTGCTTAATGAATTCAACTGAAACCAACTTAGTTGAATTCAGTAGGTTGTAGAAGAAGAAATAAATAAGAATATTACAATTGTTTCATGTTTATTATGCTTTTTTAAAAACATTACTTGTGTTATTCAGAAATTAGCAGCAATCATATCAAAATAATGAATTTCATATGAACACTTGATGTAATTTTAAGTCCTACATATTATTTGTAACTTTAAATTGATATGCATGAAACTAAAGAAAAATGATTATCATTAACATATAGACTTACTTGTTTTTTGACATGTGAAATGATAATCATGACAACAATCTCCAGTAATGACACAACTTTCATCACAATAACAACGATCACGTGGACTTGAATGACCAGCTACACTACGATATTTCTTCCATGGATAATATCTAGATATTGAAGATTGTCCAGTTGATTTGTAAACAAAACATTTCTTCTCTCGACCGGCACAACATATAGACATTCCATTAGGTTGAAGGCATCCATTTGAAATAACTAATGAGATTTGATTGATTGTAATATAAAATAAAAATAATATGACCCAGTGAAATAACTTCGAATTAAATTGAATATTTAATCGGTTTTGAACTGATCGAATCATTTTTTTTGTTTATATATGAAAATGAGTATTTATAATTCACAAGATAGCAACAACAAAAAATATTGAAAATATTGTAATGAATGAACTGGATTTCTAATGTCTAGTAATTATTTTTGTATAGTAGGAATTCTATAATAAGTTTTTGCTGCCTGTTATGTGCATATAATAAATAAGTTTTAACAAGTGGACATGTAGTCATGTATTTAAATAGTATTTTCAGGAGGAAAAACTACTGAGTTATATTTTTAATTTCAGGGTAGTTAAAAGAAAAATTCTTTTTTTTTCTATTGTCTGATAACCGTATCCAGGTCTTATATACTGGTGGCCTATCGACTCTACACCATTCCAATGTACTGTTGTCCCAATCTACAAATGTATGTATGTATGTATGTATATATGAAGCAATGCACAAGATCCGGTAATATGCAAACAAAATGCTTTTGGTTATATAAATATGCACACACTAAACATCCATTTGGTGCTCAGGCCTAGACATTGATAGAAATGATGCTAATGTTTGTACAATTTTGCACGTATGTAATCCGATTAACTTCCTCTATGCAACAGTATGATTGGTTAATTTCAATAGAAGTAGTGGGCGAAATACCTGACCTTCTCTTGACCCCATATAAATGACCATCCCAAAAGACCATAAAAACAACAAGGTTTTGATTACAGCAGACTAACAAAACAAATGAAAAGGGTTAAGGTCAATTGTTATTTTCAACACTTGGATGAAGTAACTTACACTAACTGCTTCGGTCCAATGATTAGGACATTTGGTAAAAAAAATATAGCATTAATCTGATAGATATATATGAGTGTATGAAAAAATGCATACAAATTGTATTTTTTACAGACACTGTCCTTAATATTGTACCATGACAAACAATGTAAACAGGAAGACTATGATCTACTGACTACTATTACATAACGGCATGTTTTACTGACTAGGAAGTTCTTTGTTTCCCTTATCGGCATTGAATTGGTTTATCAGTTAGTCAAATATGTAAATAAAAAATGGTAAAAAACCGTGGACTATGGTATGATGACGAATAAATTTATTGTTGAAAGAAATTAATTTTAACGAGAAATAGAAATGAAAAGGAAAAGGACTGTTAAATTACTTCGTTAGTACTATATGTACAGAAATATCCTGATGCAATAGGATATTTTTAGTACAGTTGAATAACACTGAAGAATGTGTTTTCAACAGTTATAGACCTTGGTTTTCAGAGTATATAAGTTAGCTTTGTATTTCTTAAGGGACTTTATTAATGATTGTATTTTGTCTCGGAGAAGAATAGAAATACATATGAAAGTTAGATGAATACAATTGATTAAATAGCTAGAAAATTAGCCAAGTAATATTATTCAAATCGACATTCCTTTGAAAACCATTGGATTCAAGTATCTAAAATTTATGTTGACCAGAAACTAAATAAATGGTGATAATTCGGTTATTTATTTACCTTGAAAAAGTAGCTTACATAAAGTCACTAAACGTCAGAAATACAATTATTCTACTCATTGCGATATAACAAAAGCATATATTGATTATTTACTTTATACCCAATGCTCAATTTATTTAAAACTATCAAGTCTACCTTTGGTATAGGTACCTATAAATAAATTATGATAATTTCAACAGTTGAGATCATGAGTCAATTGAAGCTAGACAACTATGGAAAAGCTGGAATCACTGGACAACCGTTTCGTCCTATTGTGGGACTCATCAGCAGTGCGCATCCACGACCCCGCCTCGCGGGCTTCGAACCCAGGACCTACCAGTCTCGCACCAGGCGTCTAACCAACTAGACCACTGAGCCGGCATCCAACGGTGTTAATGTGTAACTTCAACCAATCCATGAAATTGAGCGACACATCCACCATTGTCATCAGTGAGTTACTACCTCACACCTGACCCGGTTGTACTCCACTGGTCATTGTTTCTCATTAGAACTCCAGGATATACCTCTTGAAGCCAGTCACTAGTGAGCATATGTTGATTAGTATCAGAAGGGGTTTTGTGGAGATTGTAGTAATTTCAACAGTTGAGATCATGATAACTTCAGTAAACAAGGATGATACTGAGGATTCTTTACCTTCATCTGTGAAGTAATGAAATCATTAAAAGTATAGAAAAACAGTTTTACATCAGAATGAATTCATTAATAACTACAAATAAAGAAGTTGCTTTGTTTTCATACAAAGAACTTTCAAGCAATTCATGTCTATGAATTATATGCTATTCATATGACAGTTTGGCTTTCTAATAATTTTCTTAATACATACATAAGTATTCATCTGAGTATTCTTTTTGTATTTTGTTAGTATGGATAATCTACCTATTTCTATAATATGTCAATACTATTTTATTCAAGTGTAATTCGTAATGTTTAATAATCGCTTTGCTTATTACACATTACCGACTTAAACTATAGTGTAAATATTATTTATACTTACTTGTGATGATTTTGTAGGATCATGAAATATACTCAGCTTCATATTTCAGAAGTAATAATATCAGTAAAGAAACCTTTACTAAGCTAAATAACTTGGTGAAGAATTTACTATGTGCCGAAGGTATTATTCATCACTGACTACTATTAGCCAGTTTCATGTTCGCTATAGTCTTAAAATTACAGCTTTCAATCTCTTGTGTTATAAGTATGTACTGTCTAGAAGTTTCAGGCTAAAACAAAATACATTTAAATTGATCCATGACTTTTAGCAGTTATCCAGATAATGTTAATTCATGACGAAATTTGTCTTAGAAGGAAATCTTTGAAATATACTGATGAAAATATTTGGCTTACTGCAACTTTAGCTTGAATTTCACAAATACCACTAAAAATAACAAAGTTCGAATACCTCCAATTCATATACAAAATTATATTGAAGGAACTCTTGTAGACTTTGCTCCATAGACGAATATTATTTAGATAATAATTACGTAACTAGTCTAAGACAGTAGGTAGGTGACAACAATCAACAATGCAGATAGATTTAATTTTCCGTTCACCATTAACAACAGTTAAAAATCATTAAAACGTATTCACTTACACAATAGACATTGTTACTATATGATAATGAATAAGTATAATAACTTGGCAAATAAACAGTTGCTTAGTAATCTTCCAAGACATTCTGATCAGTTTAAGTAACATTATAAATTTAAAAAACGATTATTTTGTCTAAGTGATTTGAATTAAACTGGGGTATTTTACTTATTGAAATGAAACTGAAACGTTCAAAGTATTATCAATGTATTGAACAATTGTATCTATATTCATTGTGAAGATTAAATGTTTTAAAGTGAGATGAGAATAGTTATATTTTACAGCTACTATTACTAATGAAATCAAGCAAAATCTAATGGACCACAATACTGGATTACAATCATTTAATCAATTAAATACTTGTTCACATGAATAATAAAATCACATGGCGGGATCGTGGATGCGCACTGCTGAAGAGTCCTATACTAGGACGAAACGGCTGTCCATTGCTTTCAGGTTTTCCATGGTGGTCTAGTTCCAATTGATTCATGAATTCAATGATAGAATCGTGCCAAGTACATTATTAGACTATATTTCTAAGCTTTCAACTAAAAATGTAAACATTAATAATTCCTTTACAAAAAAATATGTAAATTATTCCAAATACTTTGTTGACAAAAATTATTCGATAAAACTTAATTGTTATTTCATGTATTTTTAAATGTTAATTCATTATTGTTTATTCACTATACCATAAATGTATTTAAATGAAATGACTAATTAAAATAAATACTATCAAAAATATTCTTAGGCTTCTAAATATCTTAAATGGAAGATAAAGTTTTACAGTGTTTCTTCGGATGTAAATTTTTTTATCATTTTCTTGTTAACAGTAATGAATATGGTTCTAAGAAAGTTTACACTATGGACAAACTTGAACTATGTAACTAAGAGCATAACTCTACAAAGCATTGGATTCAAGAGCAAGTACAATAAATATTTAAAGAGATTAATCTAAATTGAATTTTTTACATTTCCATATTAATTTAGTTTACGATATTTCAGAATGAATTTAAAACAAAGCATAGGCATCTGTCAAGTTCAGATTAGTTTATAATAGATCTCTACCTCAGTATTGGTTTGTGAAGATTATTAAGTTTTTTAATTGAGATCATGAACCGATTGATGCTAGAGCACCATTAAAAACCTGGAAGCACTATACACCCGTTTCGTCCTCAGCAGTGTTCATCCACGATCCCGCCCTCGTGACTCAAACCCACCACCTTTAGTGTCACGTGCGAATGCTTAACCTCTAGACCACTGAGCCGGCATCCAACAGTGTTATTATCTAACCGTCCACTGCTTCCAAGTTTTCAGTGATGATCTAACATTATTCATTTCACGATCTCAACCAAAAAGATCTCTACATGTTTTTAATCTACAATACATACTAACTTGAAACCTTTGCATATACTAAAGAATCCCAAAATAGAACGATAAATATTTTTTCTTTAATGTTTATTCATCTTTCATAAATATATGAATCACATTATTCTGTTGTTGTTTTATAAAATAGATCTGAAGAATAAACAAACTATCATCAAACTACTTTGAACTGATACTACTTATTTAAATTTTTTTTTAATTTTAAGTGTTTTAAATCAAAATAATAAATATTCAATTAAAACTAATAAATGATATTTTTATTCATATAATTTTGTATTTTACATTGCACAAAACCAATACTAAACCAGACTGTAAACTTTTGATGTGATATTTTATAAAAGTATGTCAAGTGGAAAAAAAAACCTAATCAAACTACAGATATAATAAGTAGTGAAATTATACTGTTAAGATTTTAGATTGTGTTATTGAGTTAGTATACACAATTAAATTTACCACTATCAGTTAGATTTGTCTAAAATTAGCAAACAACATTGAAACATTGAATCTGTAGTCTGTTTGTTTGATTAAACTGCCATTTCATTGTTTATATAT